TTCTGTCAAGGGCCGGGGGATGAGCATTAACTGTGTCCTCTCCCTGGCACTTCTGAGGGGCAGAAACCTTCCATTTTTCACAACCCCGCACTGAAACATTTAGCCATTCAGTCCAGGCTTGGAAAGGAAAAGTGCGTTTAATGAGACATGCCCTGCCATCTCCGGCTTGTAACCCCCAATTGAGGAGACAATGAAATTTTATTGGCCCGTACTGTGTAATCCCTGACTTCCTTAATGTAATTGGAAATCAAAGAGTCCCATTCAGACTGTCCCTTTATTACTCAAAGCAGCTGGATGGAGGGTTTTTTGTATCCCTGCAGTTATTGGTCTCCAACAGGCTTAAGATGTGGGCCATTTACTGTGGGAAACCAATAAAGTTTCTTTATGATGGAGCCAGGTATTCTCAGTTGTGCATCACGGCGGAGATACACCAAATCCGTTGACGTATGTGAAGTCGACGGATCTTATTCATTCTTTTTCTATAAAGAGAAGGAGATCTGGCCGCACGTTGCATGATGGATACGGCTTGGCGACCTGACTGCTCGTTCGCCGTATCTGAATATGATGCATAACCATGACTCAGCCTCAAATGAGGTCCGTCCATCCTAAGGCAGCAGGCCTGCGAAACTCTGATCAAACAGTCAAATATCACAAACATATTTTAGGGTACTGTTGAGCTGTAAAATGAGAAAGTTTGTTTAAAACAGATTCAAAAACAAAGTACCCTCAATCGGCTGGAGCAAACCAAACCGCTTTAGGTTCCGCTTTGTCTTTCCGTTTTTTCTGTATTTGGTGTATCTCCACCATCAATCTTGACCTTTAATCAGCATTGTAACACTTGCATGCTCCAGGCATGCTATTATTGTGGGATTAATTGGCGCTCGTGGGTCAAATCCGCCAGGTATTGTCTTCATTAATTATGGACGTGGTGTCCAAATCAAGTTTTTAGACTGCAGCAAAGAGATTAAGACAAATCTGCCTTTTATCCTCCGCCAAATGAAAACTTTTATTTCTCCCCTCCACAATTTTTCCACTCTTTCGACCCCCGTCTCTCCTCCGCGGCTCCAGCTGTTGTAGTGGCTCTACCAGTTATTAACACACAATTACAATCTATTTAGGAAGCATCACTGAGGACCAGTGCTGTTAGCGGCTCATTTTCTACTAAATTAGCTTGTGCTCAGAGCCAGCACAGTCTTGGAAAAAGGCCTCCGAAATCTTTCTGTATCGTCTGTAAGTAAAAGTGGTAATGATTATGAGTTTGTTTCATCACGGAGCTGATTAATTGGGACACCATTAATTGAAATGTTGGTTGTTTTCTGTAAAAACAGCTGTTTAGCGCTGTGATAGCCTTCGTTAGTCTCTTGGGCTGTTTTTAAATGGCACACAGAAAATGTAATGTGTATGAATCTATTAGTACTTGCAGATAATTGAGTGACTGGAAAACTGACAGAATACACAAAAAGCAGCTGGATTTTCAGCATACATATGGAAATATTTATTTCCCTCCCAAACACTCACGCATTTTTATGCTGATCATCATTGTCCGACTTAATTTAGCTGACTACAACATCATAACGCGTCTTTTATTGTTTAGTGAGTGAGCCTTATATACCTGGGCATGGCTGCCCTCCCCCCTCCCGCTCCGCTCCCCTACATGAGACACGATGCACCTTCAATGTGTCGTGGTGAATCGAGAACAGCAGGGTGGGAGGTAGGCTGCACACTGAGAGCCCACGAGGCACGCCGAGATCAAGCAACAGAGAGAAAGGAGAAATTCCTCTGCATACATGAATATCATTCCAGCGAGAGAGAGAGAGAAGAACAAAGACCCACCAAGTTAATGACTTTTCTGTATCTTCGAGTGTGCTGCGTCTCCTCCGCCCTCTTGTAGTCGCCGGGTTCAAACGAAGAAAAACAAGTAGCTGTGGCAGGAGTAGCTGAGATAAGAGCTCTTATTGGCAACATGATTTCTTCTTTACTTGTCATCACCCTGTTATGGTATATTAAAACGGCACTGACCCAGCATGGATCAAATAACTACTTGTTTTTGGAGGGGGGTCGCTCATGCTCAACCCCCGATAATCACCAGCTAAATCTGCACTTCTTCTAAGCTCTAAGGAGCCTAATAGCGTCTCTTAGCTCATTGTTTACGGCCCACAATTTGAGTCTTTTGGTTAACTCTCATTGCTCTCGTAGCGTCATTTTGGCCGCAGAAGACACCTGTTTTGGGTTGAAAAGAACACTAAAAACCCACCGTACACTACCTGCTCATGCAACAGCAGTTCGACAAGGTAGCTAGTGAGCATTTAAGCTAGCAGCTAAAGAGACTGATGTTTCTCTCGCTGATGACCAAACCAGAAGTGAAACACAGTGAATACTGGATTTACATCCGTCAACTGTTCACTATAGACCGTACATAAGAAGTGGAAGTAGTCACTGTGATGTCCCTCTTGGTTTTGAATCCTTGAGTTCGGTATCTTGGCCGTCTCCATGTTAGTTTCTTGCAACCAAAAGTGACACGAGAGGGTGGAGCTAAAGTACAACAGAATACTGAATAGGACATTTGACGACCAAAACAGTTACAATTAACTTTCATTAACTGAAAACACACTGTGAAAGGGTTTAAAGTTGTACAACAAAAACGACAAAAAAAGGCACAGACTGGAGATCGCGGTGGAAGCGACCTGTCAAGTGAGAAGCAGAGTCATTTCCTCATAGATGTACATACAATCTGACTTCTGTCTGCAACCGGAGGAGTCGCCCCCTGATGGCCAGAAGAACGAAAGTTGAAAGCAATTCTGCATTGGCTGCACTTCTTCTGCCGTATCACTTTAAAAGCTGATGATACGGGATTGCTGTGTTGACCGCTTGTTTCTGCTCCCCCTGTGTGGCCGGAAATATCAGTTACTGCAGGTTAAAAGGCAAACTATGGCATGGAGGCTCACGTTTGCTAAATATTATCAATCTCTAATGTCAGGTAGTTATTCTGTATAGATGTGTTTCATTTACAAACTTCATTTAAAGAGCGCCTTTGATGAGGAATCTCCCAGAGACTAAACTGGCACTTGTTACTGGTGGGAATATAAGACATACCTTCCGGGTCCTTCCAGCTGCACATGCAGGCCTACGTGTCGGTGGTTTTGACCATTCCCATAGCTGCATTGCATTTTCTTTTACTTTGGTTGGAGAAATTCTTATCGCTTCTTTGTTTTATAATTATATGGATTTCTTTCCTTATGGTTGTTGAATGGTGGTAATAAGCTATTCCATCTCTCTTCGTGTCTGACACAAATGCTGTCTGAGAAGGTTTTAGATGACCAGGACATTTCCTGTAGCTGCAGGAAATATTTTAATGAAGGCTGTGTTGTCCATTTTTTTGTCCAGCTAAGGAAAAGCAACATGTTCCTTGAAATGCAAGATACCAGAGATATGACTGCCAAAAACAATTAATGTGAGGTTTCTCTTGCACCGCTTTACACCAAGCACCATTCATACTTTTTGTGTTTATTTAAACTCAATTATTCTCATCAACATCAACTTTATATTCATGACGTCCACCTCATGTTTTACGTGTAAGCATGCTAATAACGTTGGTTATTTAGTACTAAACACAATGCAAAGCTGAGGCTGATGGGAATGTCGTTAGTTTAACTTTAGCAGGTATGCCGTCATAAAGCAAAAGTATAATTAAATTTTGAACCGGATCACTAAAGTCAGTCGGATTCCTCTGAGGACTGAGAGGTGATCACTGTGCTGAATAATGATGTAGTTTCAATCATAAATTTAATCAAATTAAACTTCTAATCATTCTCAAAATGATTTGCAATAAAAAGCACCTTCCTGAAGGAGTTTTGCTCTTATTCTGCGCATGCTCTTCCGTTGCTTGACTGCTGCGGTCAAGGTGCCCTTGTGCAAGGCACTTTGCTCCCAGCAGTTCCCAGGGAGCTGATCTGTAACCCAGATGTGAAGGAGTTTAGAGCCAGTGTTTATGTACGAGTGCGATAATAGAGAGAAGAAAACACTCATGTTCAACAAACCCGCGCGAGTAAAGGTCAAAAGAACAATCATCATCATTTCCACCGACATCATAGCACTTCAATATTTCCTCGCTCCCCTCTCTACCTTCCCCGCCAAACACCCAGAACAAGCTAATTAAATCTTCTGTCAGGCGTGGAAATCACTCTGCTTTCATCCTTCCTCCGTTCACGTCCGTCACGTCAGGAACATGCATAACGACACGTGTTTTTAGGGGGGCTGTAATTCCCCCGTGCGTGTTAGACATGTCTCTCTGATCGCCGCCGCCTGCATGCTAATCACCAATGTGGTGCTGCTTTCTGACTGCGTCAGCGTGCTGCACTTTTAAAATGCGTCGAGGAGGATGTGTGGCGGCGCTATTGAGAGTCAGTTTGAGAGGTTGTGAAGATCAAGCGGCACCACGAAGACACGCAGGTTGTGGGAAGCGCACTCACACATACTGTACACATACACACACACACACACACACACTCCCTCAGGGCTTTAAACTTGAAGCTGCCACTCGTCCAGTAATGCGCTCTTTCCCAGGAGTCTCTCTGTAAGAGCAGAGCAGGAGGCAAGTTTAGCACATTGCACAAACAACTTCCTCACAGCCGGAGGATAAAATATCCTGGCTGCTCGTATAGCTCATCAGGAATCGTTTGTGTGTGATAGCTTTCTGCCCTTGTTTTGCTCCTCTTGCTTGCACTATGTGTGTGTGTGTGTGTGTGTGTGTGTGTGTGTGCGATTAAGCAAAGATGTAATGAGTAGGGACAGTGCCCTGTTGTTTGGCCGTGAAGTGCTGCTTTCCAGCTGAGAGAGTCATTAACCTGTTTTGGAGCATCGACTGAGAGGTTGCACAGTGTGACCTGACCAGACACACAGACTTGAAGGCATTTGTTTGTGGCTACATGACGGTCCAAGCTACTGTCTGCAGACTGTCTTGCAGTCTTAAAGTGAAATTGTTCTGTGTTTGTGTTCCTCAGACCAGCGCGGTGCTCTGCTCGGGAGGCTGCGCCCTGCTGGCCGTCAGCTCCCTGTTGGCCATCATCACCATCTTCCTGCCCAGCGGAGGATGTGAGAGGAGGATCTGCACCCTGGCTGGATACATGCAGATGGCTGCAGGTCAGTACAGATGTGAATACGCACACAGACAAACTGCAGGAGCTCACTCGTACTCGATCCAGACGGAGATGTTTCTCACAAATAGCAAAAAATGATATCCCGTCTTTCACCTCCGCAACAAACACTGATATGGCTGTCTATTGTTGGAATTGTAAAAAAAACGTGTTGAATTTTTTGCCCGTCAGTCAGTCAAAAAAAACAACAACAAAGAAAAGAAACAACTCGAGGACAGCTGCTGCTAGGCAACCAGTGTCTGCATAGCACTTGCGCGGGTGAACCAGCGAAGGGAAGGGCGAGGACAGATTTAGAGCCTGCTGTTAAAAAGACAATTATGCCTCCTTAACACAGGTCATCGGTTCAGGGTTGCGTGTGACTTATCAGGCCTCCGCTCTCACTCAAACAGAGAAGCAGTCTCGTAAAACAAAGCGCGGCGCCCTGTCAGCGCGTGGGCTTCAAAAGCCCTGAATGCCGCACAGCTCGTGTCGCTGCTCAGTACCGGCCTTCACGCTCTCGCTTTGTGCATCAGGGCCATTTTTCTATCAGTTGGCATAGATTTCTTTCTGTTGTTGTGTGAGAGGATACGGTTCCTGTGCGATTAAGTTCCAGAACATATTTTGTTGTACGTGTTGCACCATTTAACTGGAGACTCTTTCCCTATACATTCCTGCCATTTTTCTGAAGCTTTTGAAGCACTTCTGTTGCCAGGTCAACTGATCCACGAACCCTTAGTTGTTATTTCAGCAGCAGTTACGTCGCCTCTATCCTTGAGAATGTTTAGTCGCTAATTTAAATCCCTGCATGTGGCATTTAGCTAGGCGTAATTACAGGCTGATTTCATTGGGCAGGTTAAGTCTTTACAGACAGAACTGGGACTTTCACAGGGTTAATGGTGTGTTTAAAGTGGCGCTTATTGCTTACAGCCAAAAAGTCTCTGTCTGACTCCAGAGTCAGATCAATGTTGCTTTGGGAGGAAACGAGAAGGAGTCCGTGGCGAAGCAAGTGTGTGTGCGTCTCCGTCCCGCTCTGCGTGCGCTACAGCTGCGTGTCTTCATAGCAACAGACTTTTGCGGAACAACAATGAGAAGCGAGGAGCCGGGCCTTTGTTCCGTTTCCAGGTCGACTCTCGTCTAGATAGACGGAGGTTTCACAGAGAGCCCACAAAGCCCAGAGGAGGGCAGATCAGACGAGTGTTTGTTTTCCCAGCGCTGCAAGTGTGTGTGTGTGTGTGTGTGTGTGTGTGTGTGTGTGTTGAGTGCTACCAAAGAAGGCTGGTAAACTGAAACAGGTAGATAAAGAACAATGGTTGTCTTTGTGGTGTGCATCTTATCAGTGTTGCATATGAAAGTGTGTGTGAGAAATGAACTGCTGACGAGATGCTTGTCAACTGTCCCTCTCTAGATAGAAGCCTGTTTTGATCCACATGTTTACTACAGTACTGCTGACAGCCAATGCAGATGTCAGTGTGTGTGTGTGTGTGGTGGTTTGTTACTCTACTTGATGATGGATGGAAGTCATTATGAGGACAAAAAACAAAAGAGATCTCCTATAAAGTGAGGACGTATAACTTCTTTCGAGGTTTGGGGTTTGAAACGTGTGAAGACGAGGATGAAGGTTGGAGTTTGAGTCACTTTGAAGCAGTGCTTTGAGAGGTTCTGGCTTTCTTTTGCAGAACATCAAAAGTGTAAAACAATGATAACAATGATTTCTGATAGGAAGGGAGGGACGGGTTTATTTGCTTGTACTGGAATGTTGTAAACTGGTAGGATTGAAGAAAGACACACATGCAAAAAAAAAAGAATTTGCACATTGTATCATGTGACTTATATGATCATATGAAAGATTGGTAGTAGGTGAACAAATATAAATATTTGTATGTATTAGAGCTACAAGGTCAGAATTCACAACTTTAGCCTGTTGCACTGCAAAGAGTGTATGCCGTAATTGAATTAGGTGGTTAAAAAAATCTTAAAAAATCTTAAAAAATGAAGATTCTTTGAACAAGCAAATATTGTTTATTTCTAAAATGTGCATGTCTTTGTGTGTGTGCTATGTTTGTTTATGTGCATGTTGCAAATTTAGCTCATACAAACTCTAATTTTTATCAGCATTTTGCTTTAATTAAGGCCACAAGTCAAAATGTGGTGACCGCCAACATCATGCAGGAATAGAGGAGGGCTTTTCAAGTACTTGAGCCTCATTTTTAGACATTCTTTACATCTGCAGACCCCAACGTGTGGACATTATTCAGAGTGACAATTGTCAAGGAGTGTGCACTCACGACCAAGCTGCAAGACAGCATCAACTAGAGGCTGAATCATTCCCCTCTGAACAGCCCACCTCCAACCCTTGCTGTTCCCATTTGCTTACAGCATCTACATCTGCTGTATCACTGCTGCTATCGCTCAGGTATAGAAACACCAGAGGCACAACCCAGGAACGTTTGTCTGTCCTATAAGAGGTAGAAGCACATGACCTTACATATCAACAATTCCGTCATCTCTTGCGGCGCACACACACACACACACACACACACACAAACACAAACACAGCCGAGGGCTGGTTTGAACCAGGAAAAACCTTTTCTCTGCGAGGTAAAAAACTGCCCCGGCTCTTTCCTTTCTTGGTCTCGCGGTCCCGTGGGCAAAGTCCAGAATTAGATGTGAACTTGCTAACCCTACACTGGATCAGCTCAGCGCTCCATCCAGCGGTGCAGCTGCTGCGACGGCGAGCACCGCCGCCATCAATGTTTTATGCTCAGAGAGAGAGAGAGAGAGAGAGAGAGAGGGAGGCAGAACATTTCTGTGTGCCGAGGCGGGGAGCTTTTTCTCCTGTCATGCATATTTCATCGGCCTGTTCTTCTTAGTGGTCAGGATCCATTGGATTGGACGGCTCTTTGGTCGGGCGGTGTGTGTGTGTGTGTGTGTGTGTGTGTGTGTGTGTGTGTGGAGAGAATGAACAGACAGATATTCACATGTGAATTCACACACTTTACAGGGAAGGGAAATAAATACAAGCATTACTGATTGAATGCACATCAATGAACTGTGTTTTACTTTCACTTCTACAAAAGCTAGCGTTCCAGTTCTGAGTAACGGGGACTTCACCCTTCATTCTGGCTGATCTCCCCGTTTATTTCAATTTATTCAGCTTCATCCGCCCGACATGTGCAGCTGAACACCGCGCTGGGGTTTTCTTCGTGGTACGACGCTCAGGCAGCCTCTCGCAGTGCGGTTATCTGTTCGGGGCTGAAGACATGTCACACTCGGCTGAGTGTACAAGCACTCGCTGCACATACAAGCTTAATCTCAGCGCTTTTCCTGCGGGGGTTATTGCCATATTAACATATGGAGATAATTTACATGATGTGCTTACATAAAAAACGTGCAGGAGATTTTATGAGCTGCATTGATTGCCTGTTTGTTTTTTCTCTTTTCGTCGATGTGACAGCGAGTGAGTATTCCAGTTTAAAAAGCAAAATGTTTTCCTGTGAAAATGGCTCTTTGGGAGTTACTTGGGTTGAGGACTTGAAAGCGAAACGCCTGAAGCTGTGTTTTTCTGCTCTTGAAAGAAATATGAACCACAGTGTGTTTTTTTTTCTTTTCTTACCTGCACAGTCGGAGATGTTTGTGTTGCTTGTGGTTGTTTATTCTTACACGGAGAGATAACAGGAGAGAAACGGCACAATCGGCGAACCACAAGTGAAATCTGGCTTTACTTTGAGTGCTGAATTTGGCAGCACTCTCTGGTGACGTTTTTTTATGCAAACAAACGGTATGTAAACTCAAATTGTACAGGGGTGGTGACGAGGGATCCTGTAATTTAAGACATATTTCATGTGCGGTAGCGTCAAAATGTTTCCAAAAATATCAAGATCCTATTGAAGTCCCTTTACCTCAAGACATCACACTCCTCGACTGAAGCAATCAGCAATTTCCCAAACTGAAAGCACAAGTAAATTGAAGAAACATATTTGGTTACCCCTCATATACAGGTGAAGTCCTGAAGTAATAAAATAAAGCTAACTTTATTTGGTAAATTTAGATTTACCTCGGTGATGTACAAATCCTGGTATCTTATTTGACCTTTGAATAAAGCCTTTTTGATTTGATTTGATTTGATGTAAACTTCAGCATATATTTTTTGCTAACATCATTTGAGAAAGTTACCACTAATTACTGTGTATCTTGTTAGAGGCGAAAGAGATAAATCTATTTCAACTATAAGTTTAGTTTTTCATCAAGAGAATTGTCCCAAAAATCATAATTTTAGGTGCTAAAAGTGCTAAATTTTAGGTGCTGAGTATTTTCCCCTATTCTCAATAGCTTAGTATTTACCTTTGACGCCTCAGATCTCGTTTTGCGAACTTTGCGGGTACCCAACCCCCCCCCCATTGGCAACCACTGATTAAGACCAGGTTTTGATGTGTGGACAGGCAGGTTAAATTGCTCATGGGCACTTGGGAAACCAGCCTCTTGTTGTACAGCAACATCAGTGACGGCTACATTATTCTTCTGACGTCCTCTGATCCATCCACAGGACTGTATTTAAATCAAAACCGCGACACGTTCGCCGCTCTTGGCGGTGACTGAACGTATTTTGCCGTCTCAGCAGGATGAATGAGAGCGACTCTGTGGGGGAATATCGTCATTCGTTCAGTGAACCAACTTTTGGCCGAAAAATCTTTTCTAATTTGCAGCTAAACTCCATCCAACCCCGGCTGTACCCGGTGAACATTTCCCTTTGAAGCCCCCCCCGTTCAACCGCTCTGGAACTGTGCCTCCTCATCTGCATCTCCATCAGAAGGAGTCCTCCGCTGATTTTTAACCCCGACCCTGGCTGCTTGGGAACGCAAAAGGCAGAGTGTAATTCCTGTGTGTTTCCCTCACACAAACACAAACACACACACACGCATCCAGTTGCATTGTGCTGATGCCGAGGAAGCCCGGCCTGTTGTGTCAGCGTTCCCCTGGGCAAAGCTGCTGCGCAGATGTTCTCGGAAA